ATGATCGGACCCGCACAGATAAACACCTCTAGATATCCAATGACAAATGAAAGATCAAGAAAATCAACACTCTATTTCATGCATACCTCGTTCTTGGAAATGTAGGTGACAAAGAATCCGCAGGGAAAGAAAGACCAAAGAGACTGACTACTCAATAAATAACCAAATTGGCCTAAGCAGTACCGACACACCTAGCGCATATATACATGTACACCTCGTTTGCTGAACGTGACGGGAAATACGCGTTACTGACCAAACGAGAAGGCAAGCCATTGCTGAATTTTGGCCAAGTTCATTATTGACCGACCGAAGTCGATGCCAATAAAAGCGCCAATTAAGAACGAGGCCAATATCCACCCTTCTAGAAGAAAAAAGCTTAGTCAACCACGGATTTATTTCACCGACAAGAAGACGTGTTAATTTTTTGTTTGTTTGTTTGTTTGTTTGTTTTTTGTGGGAAATAAAGTAAATAGATTCATCTTAACCTCCTCGGGAAGCTACAATCGGAACGAGAGATTCGTTACTATCTAACCCTCTCACGGAATCTGCTATATAATAGTAATTAGTAACATCCAACTAGTGGTCAATTATCAATGCTACGTTCTGATTGGTTGAGCTACTACTAGGATATGTTATAGCCTACTAGTAATGAAAAGCGCCGGCTTTGAAAACCAAAACAATGGCAGCTGAATCGCGTTTTGCTAGCTAAAGTTGATTTGTCTCGATATTTTGACCAACTAGTTGGATTTTACTAAAACAATTATTCCATTCGCCGTCATGGCCTCTGAGTCAATAGAGAGTTTTAGATCCGCTTACCGCGAACCTCTAACCGCGGTTTGCGGTTAGCAGGCCGTTTGCGGTTCGACGTTCAAACATAGTTCGATTTAGATTGGCGGGAGATTAAATTACGGCCGCCACTTGGAATCAGCAGTAATGAATGGCACTTGTTTTCAAGATCCAATAGAATTTATAAAATTCAGCATTTCGCCCGAATTTGTGCCTCTGTTAATGGATAAAGACTTGCTCCACAAGATTTTTGTATCATTACGTGGGATGAAACAAGAATTATACGCTAAAAGCCTGAGCTTTCAGGTAAATGACATACGTGAAAACCTACCTCCCCACGTTGAAAACGCAAGTCGTAAACCTCAAACGTGATGCGAAAGACCTTGTCGTGTGACCTCCAGCGGTTAGAGGTTCGCGGTAAACTCGGATCTAAAACTCTCTAATAGCCCATGAGGCCTAGTCAGAGCCCATTCGGGCTCGAGGACAAATTGTTAAATATTATGATTATGAGTTCGTAGCCTCGTTTTTGGAACGTTGCGCAATTCAGACCATCCAGACGATTAAGCAGTATTTATTTTGAAGGTAGATGTGTATATTTTAACTAATATTTTTGCGCCAATTAAAGACAAACTGATACTTGCAAATATTATGAGGATCTGCTCAGAATTCTACAATCAGAAAATTAATGCAACCATTGGAGAATGCTGAATTGTCTCCTCAACCCTTAATAATTGTCCCAAGATATGTTATGTTCATATGTTGAATGTTAACAAAACTTGACTTTAATCGTTCATATTATTGCCTGAAACAATCAATCAATTTGCAAGATTTCATAACGTCCGAGCCAACACCGTTCCAACTCTACAAGTTGTACATGTACATGCTTTTTTTTTCTAACTAGAAAGCATGAGGTACAAAAGCCAAGGAGGGACAACTGATTTACACCTTACGACTTCCAACGTCTTAGTTTCGACTTCCAAATTCTCATGTGATTTCCGACTTCCGACCTCCCACTTCCGACTTCCGACAATTATCAAGGAAAACGCATTAACGAGTGTCTTTTTTCCCGACCCCATCAAAATATCGTTCAGTATTAAGTCATCAACCCTGAAGTCAAAAATACGTTCTCTGAGTTCCCAATCACTTAATGAGTAATGTTTTTACACCGCCCATTACATCGAACCACTTTAAATAAGAAAGAATTCACACCAAGATCATCACCATTTTGGATTGTTTACTCAAGATATTAATATGGTCATCAAAAAGAATCTCTAACTCGGATTCTAACATAAAAAAAAACTAGGGATTTGTAATATACTCTGTTCCACTTCAAGGCTAAACCTCTGGACGAGCTAGATACTGGCTTCTTATATTAAGATGCTTAAAATTGATGAATACGGCTTGTCTAAGCGTTGCACACCTTCATTACTCAGCCGGTCCGAAGTTATAATAAGTAGTCCCGCTAATCAGATCACATTTTTCGACATAATGCCGCTTCTTGCGAAGAAAATCACATATAAATTCTGTTCATCTAGTAACAAACGGGTGTATTAAAATCTATAAGATGGATTCAACAGTGGTAAATTTATATCTCTGTGGCGCTCGGGACTTCTCGACATCTTTGCCTTGTATCTTTGAGTTCACCAGATACTCTTTGCCCATTTTGTCCTGAGACCACAGCAACACCTTATCAATATTGGGCGTCTCAACCCCTACAATTTCTGCAATACCCCGGATGACAACCAATCCGTATGGGATATCCTCCGTCATGTAACGGTACGTGAAATCTGGTAGATATTTGCCGTCGTCCGACTTCTTGACAGGATGTTTGAGCCCTTGGTACGCGGCATTGGTCTGTATTGCGGTGTAGAGATTGGTCTTATCTGAGATATCTTCTGGATAGCATCGCATGTACCAATAATAAATGTTAACAACCTGTCAGAAGATATAACGTATCTTCATCAGCTCACAATATCTGAGCAGCATTCACTTACGGAGGAAGTGGGATTCAGGAATGTGATATTAAAGACAAAGAGAGATAAGAAGACAATCATAAGACACAGATAGCTTAAGGTCAGGAATCAGAATACAGCTATGAATTTAGCTTTGTTTGGATTCGTTTTTTCCTGCATTGAGCACAGGCTACCTAACAGTGCGTGGCGTGACTCGTACCCACTGCGATACGATTTACGTTAAGTAAAAGCCACGGGTTTTTGTCCTACTCTGAAGAAACAAAAACGACTGATTTTGTTAGACCTGCAACAGGTGAAGGGTGAAGTACCAGAAGGTAGCGTCCTTGGACTGATTTTTGCGGGCGACAAGAGGAGCCCGCAATCCTAATCTCCTGGTTGTTATTATGCATGCGTCGCATGTATGTAGCCAGCATTTGTTTGGACTTCCACTAAGAATGAATGGAATGCACAGAACGCAGTTTGATCACGCGCGTTTCGACCTCCTACCCCCTCGTAATCTAAAACACGCGTCCTTGACCATATGTCACAAGAAACCTACGCAAAGCACTCACTGCGTTGGAGCAAATGCGTTTGACTTTAGATCGTTGTCGCCCGCACTCCGTAACCTCTGGTTATTACAAGTCTTTATGTATATTTGTAAACGACTTACATATTTACAAATAAAACACGTAGAATAGACCATTTCTGAGTTCCCCCAAGCCTCTATTTCAAAGCGAGGCCAGTGTCCCAGACTAGGCTAAGTGCAAAGCCCTTGACATTAAACTGATCTTTATGTATCGGTCAAATCGAAGCTTCAACATCCCCTCCCCCAGGCAAACCTCCGGGCATTTGACTTTTTTGAAAATTATTGCTCAAATTCCCCCCTACCCGGGCCAAAATGCCATTCAAATGCCCCATACTAGGGTCCATTCAGGTGATCAAATGCCCCCACCCCGGGGACATTTCACAGGCACAAAAATGACAGAAAGACGGCGGAAACGCCTTCAGTCGTCGAACAAAATCTTTATAAATATAACAAAAACTGAGAAGCACTGTTAGCGTTTTTACTACGAACAAAAGTCTCGTGCAAAGCGGCGGAAATCGCTACTACAAGGTCACTACTAGCTCAGCTTTTCTTCGTCATGCAACATACAAAGCGTTCTAGACAGCGTTCTATAAAAAAAGATCCCACCTATTGAGATTACTACATCATGACCATTTTCACTAACATGCATCATCGCTCACCTTATTAATTAACATACTTGCAGTAGGTCAAAGTAGTTGACCTAAGCTTTTTTGTTTATTTTATTTTATGTTGTTGTATTGAATCGCCGGTATAGGTATCGTATTTCATTGTAAACACAACAATAAAATACATTCATACATTCAATGCCAGAATCCAATATTAAAAATTTTAAAATTTAAATACTTCAAACACGGCACAAAGCTTGTTTACGCCCTTTCCTCGTAACCAATTGGCCACAAAGGCACAATCTTTTCCACGAAAATCCTCTAACACCGCGTCCCCCATTATAGCTCGCCACGCCAAAGATTTTACATGAAATCGAGGGTGCAGTTCAAATTCCC